TTCTTCTTCTTTTTTTTCCTTTTTTCTTTTTTTTTCTTTTACCTGCTTGTTAATAACCTTGTTGGGAATCATGTATATTCCCTCGTTCCTATAGACGCTTTGTACTTACAATTATTTATTATTTGGCATGAACAAAATGTGGCCGGCTGGGCTAAAGCTAAATACCCTGATGCCTTTGGCCCAGCTACCGGTGGAGTTACAGCAACTTGCTCGTGGCGCCATCGATGCTCACCGTAACGCCTACTGTCCATACTCAAACTTTGCCGTGGGAGCTGCGTTGCTTCAAGAAAATAACAAAATTACAACAGGATGCAACTATGAGAATTGTGTTTTGAAGGGATGCTGTGCCGAAGTTTGCGCGATTGTAAAGGCTAATTCCGAGGGACTTCGTACCGCTGTGGCAGTCGCCATATATGGCTGCAGTAAGGCAGCAAATGCCGGGAGTTTACCTCCTCCTGACACGCTCACCCCACCGTGTGGGTTTTGTCGTCAGTCACTCGTCGAAGTTGCGGATCTATCCAGAAACTACGAAAGCTTTCTTGTTGTCTTGGTTACCTTTGACAGGGAGCATGCAAAATTGGTTAAACTATGCGACCTCATACCTCTTAAATTTGCTCCTTCTGATATGGGCATGGACTTATCTGAGTTAAGGGGAGAAACAAAACTGGGTGATAATGTTTAAGCAAAATAGATGGGATATAGGAGGAAAAGGGATCGACTTTTTGGCACGAACTCAAACATTGGGTGGCCTCATACATGCTTGGATGTGTGTGGGCAAATATGGGTATCAACGATAAGGGTTATCTAGGAATGGAAACTATATATGGGTGTGTATATATAATTGGTAATTTTATTCTCCGAGTACATGGTCTGACCACATTGCTTTATTATTATTATTATTATTATTATTTGTGGGTGTTATTATTTTGATGCGGTAAAGCTGTCATTTACTTCTTTTTCTTCTGTTTCTCTCTTTATTCATCTGTGTTACGGTAGACTCAAAGGCGCATCAAAGTTAAATGTCCGATAAGTCGGATAAGGTACGGTTTGGCCCAGATTACAACAAGGCTTCTGAGAGTGTTAAAGCAAAGGACAAGGAAAAGGCGGTCGAACGCGATGCCGAGGAGGAGGAAAGGAAGCAGTCCATAACTGAGGAAAAGTTGCTTTTGTTGCTCGCTGACACTAATTAGGGTTGCGCTGAGAGTCATTTTTGGAATAACGCATTCCAGATCGACCTTCACCTTGCGCGTATGCTGTGATGTGTTTTGAGTCTCAGTAAAGGAACGGTCCTGCTTTGTTGTGTTTCTTTTTTTTGTTTTGTGCCCATATATTTTGGCATTGGATTCCATCAATTCTGTTGCCTTACCTTTCTATTTCCATTTTTCATGCCCATTAAAAAATGCGTTATAGTCCCGAGGCAACGACAGAATTGTGTACTCCGCTTCCTTACTTGGTGTTCTCAGAAGGGTCCTCGTGCGCTATCGAAGGATTTCTCTGTATCCGAGTTTCTCTTTTTATTTTTATCCTCATTTTTTTATTTTTTTTTTCAAACATAATTTGGTGATGGAGGACTCCCCCCCTTAACCGCAATTCTATTGTTTCCACCGTCTATATGGAGGCTGAGGCTTTGCACGCAAGCGTCGCCCCTAGGAGAGGCCGGGGAGAAAGTAGGCGGGCGGAATCCTCACACGTTTCGTGGGTAAGGTTGTGGGTCTTTTTTCCTTCTTGGGATCTTATGTGTCGTGTGAGAAGCACTTCAGAAGCAGGGCGCGCGGGTGCTGTCGGGTAATTTTTTTCTGAATATTAGTGTTTGGGTGCCCTGCAAAAGTTCCCCTTTCTGCTTCCTTCGTATTGTGTGCATTTTCCCTCAACAGGGTAGACTCAGACCCCCCCCCCCCAAAAAAAAAAAAAAAAAGAATAGTGTGACGCGAGGGACCCGACCTAACACCCACTGGGTAGGATGTCGTTCCT